GGGATATTATTGACTGGAGCTAGATCACGGAGTTAGCATACAATAAAGAGGTTAACACATTAGAAGATACACGGCAGATACATACTGCAGAAGACAACACATAGGAGAATGCACAATACAGTGCAAGGAACTGATGACATGTTTATAAAGGAGACCCACAGTTAGGATACGATTTGTGACGTTTAGGAACAACTCTACTCAATCTGGTCACCTGCACAGCATCAGGTTATGTGCTGTCCTGAATAAAGAAACTTGGATGATGAATCCAATGTTGAATTGCATGGGTAGGTGACTCCTTGGCAGAGGTAAGACTAGAAATACATTCTGGAGCAATTACTCGTGGCCAGGGCATAAATATCAGCCCCCAAACAAGCAGACAAGAGGAAGTCAAAATTTAGGCTTTCCCCCCACCCCCAATAGCTAACCTTTCCAATAGTAAGAACACATGAGCATTAGAACAGATTATCTAGTGAGGCTGTGGAGTCTCCGTCACTGGTATTTTAAGAATAGTTTAAGCAAACATTTAGTAGGACTGTATCAGGATGGGGCAGATGGGTGGACTAAATTTTGGAGCGCCTCCTATTGTTTGTTGTCACATACTGCAATTCACTTGAGGTCCTCTGAATAAATTTTCTGTCCAAATTCCAACCCTTGGCTATACTTAAACAAAGATGCTCTCCTCAGTCACATCAATTTCTTGATCCAAAACCACTGTCTACATTTGATACTTAGAGCTTTACTCATATACTTGATGCCAAGAAGTGAAACAAAATAATTGCAATGGAATCATAATTCTGACTACTATATTTGGGTGGATTCACTCATGGATACAAAGAAAATATATCTGTTAAGATTTGGATCCTTGGTGATCTTGGGCATCATCTCCAAAATAAACATACCTGTTTGCAGATGACTTCAGTCCTTGTGGATCCCAATGAGTTATCTAGTCGTCTCATGATATTGCTATTACTTTCATCTCTGCCACAAGTACCATAAGCTTCAGAAAACGAAGGCCATCCAGTCCCAGAATTGTACTTCTTTTCTGAACTATATGGGAAAGAGAGATGTTCTTGTCAATTAAGACCAAAGATGTAATAAAAACATCTGCTTTTAACAATAACATGGGCTTCTTTCTTCATCCCTATCTTGTACAACTTTTAATAATATTTGGCCCAACAGAAAATTTCTCACTGGCAAACTGTGCTGGAACCTGTTTTCCAAATGGAATTCCTGATGAGCCCACAATAGGAGCTTTTGCCTCATCATTTCTATTTCACTGACATTTCAGCATTTTATAGAGTGTGAAAAAAGGTCTTTCCAGTATCCAAGCACATTAGTAGCTGAGTTACATCCGTAAAGTTGCCGTTCAGAGCCTGACACAACACAGCAGAACCTCAGAGAGCAGAGTTTACAGGAAGAAACAAAATATAACATAAAACCAGGAGGAGTGTGGAGAATCATCAGGTTGGCCCACTGAGCCTGCTTCATGTATGATGATGGCTTCTGCTTGCAGGCTGCAAAGTGACGCAGTCATCAAAATAGTTTGGTAAATCAAACAGAGCTTTGCTCAAAACTTCAATCTGACAACACAGAGATCTACTTTTCCCAAGAGATAACCACAGCCACTAGATAAAAGACACTACAGACTCTCAGCTTCTGGGTACCTCCTGTTAATTAACAGGCTTACCAATCCAGTTTAGTTGCCTATTAAAACTTAGAGGGCATTGTAAGTTACGATCAGAGGATATTTCCAGGCTGCACCACACAGAAATGTAAAAATCTCTCTTCTTTAAAATTTTCATAGTGAGAAGTCCTCTTTTCTAGAAAACAGTGACTTACTGTTACTTTAAAGACAAGACATGAAGATAGACTTGCATACCAGTAAGTTCACATACCATTATGATAAATGGCCTGAAGAAAAAACACAACAGATTCCCTCAGATTTCCAATGTTTTAGCTTAAGTCCTTCGGTTTACAAAACCAATGCTCTTACTGGCACCTAGTGGTAGATGGAGACATCAACACCACTGATAGCCCCTTTTATAACAAAAAGTTATTACATGATCCAACATATAACTTGAAGCAAAACATTTAGTGAAGAGAACCATGTATACTTTGGTGGGATATTAACACAGTGGGGAAAAAAAAAAAACTGAAAATCTTACTTGCAATACCTTTTAGAAAGACAAGACAAACAAGCTAGTCAAAAAGCTTAAAAACAAACGTAATACTCTAAACCAGACCAGTACTATAGATTTGGCACGCATTTAATAATTAATTGTATATGACTTTCTATGAGCAATATAACTGTGGAAATACAAGAGGAGCTGCAAACAACAGAATGTCCAAGGGATAATTTTCAGATGGGCTTTTGTCCAATCCATTAAGACACATTAGAAACGCTCTCCTACCTCTACCCCATACATAAAACTAGGAAGAAATAAGACACAGTAGAGAGGCAGGCCACAGCAAAGAAAATGCAGTTTGCAGATTCTCCATTTGCATAAGACAAGACCTGGGGAGCCAGTCCTATTTCTTTCCAGGCAAAGAGGGCTCTCCACCATCCATGCTATTGTGTCTACTGGGCACAGATTCCCAAGGAATAACCTGGGTGAACATAAATGTCCACATACCACTTCTGAACTTCCCTAACCTATATTTCTGTTATTTTACTTTAAGAACATTTCAATTTGAATTCTTCCTTTACTGACCCCAGGATCCTTCTCTTCATTCAAATACAGAGAAACCATATAAAAATCCTCTCTGAAATGCAACGGAGTTAACAAAAGTCTTTCTACTGTAACAGTGTGGGTTTTGCATCTGTCCCTGACTGACTCCGTCCCTTACATGCAGCTCACAACGCTCAGGTTTATTGGAGATGTTTTCCACTGCTAAAGAATCAATCTTTTGGGCTGTTAAACTAGCTCTCAGCAGAAATTGTTTCTGTGAGGTTTTACTAACAGGAATATCATTTAGATTCCCTAATAGAAACATTTTAGTACCCAAAAATATTGCTGTTCAAGATCATATTTGTCCTTTGAAGTATTTCACCACTTAATTTATGGATAGATGGACTTTCCCTAGACATATGTATTAGATTAGCCTTCGACACACCATTCCTCTTGCACATGTCATTTACTTTGATCCCTATTTCAGTCGTCCTGGATGGAATCCAGATAATTCTAAAAAGTGCTTTCTGCTGTATGAATCTCAGCTGTAGGTTTATGGTTTGCTGAATATTTGAGATTTCATTACAGTACACAATTTGCTATCTATAAAGGTTAGCTTTTTGTTCCATGTATTTTTAACCCTTTCAAATTAATATACCATAATAAATTATGGTATAAATATATAAACACACACGTATACTTAGAGAGAAAGGAGAAAATGCTCCATGCTTACCTGTAGCTAATGTTCTAATGCATTTGAAAAAAGAAAGAACATTTTTAATGCACTAGGAGATAAACATGATGAATGAATCTCTTATCAAATGCCTTTTTTTCTGATTGCTAATGTCCTTTATAACATAATGTATTCATGGAAAAAATATTTTCAGCCCATTTTTGAACATTTAATAATTTTCAATTTTCTTAATAGATTTTTTTATATAATGTTATTTTTCCCCTGTATCAATCTTTGATGTTTAGTATGATTTTACGCTTCAAACAAAAGTATGTATATTCTCCTACAGGAGGATACTGCAAAATGCAGCATGCATGATTATATTGTTATTTTGTCATTCGTTTAGTAGCTGAAGTAATCTTCTTCAGTTCAGTACTCATTGTCTTCATGTTGGCCTAACTATAGCTATGTCCAATACAAAGAATGCCTAAATTGAGGGAACATCAAGTCTTCCACAGCTTGGCAATTTAAAATTTCTCTAATTTATCTGAATTTCCAAGAGTTTTTTTTAGGTTTTGTATTTGTCTTCAGAGTATTCTGCAATGCCACACTACCTTCTGAAATTATTTTATTTAAAAATGCTTATTAACAAACCTCTACAGAAATACCTAACTTTAGGCAAGTGTTTTTGTAACATGGTTCTCCACACTTGACCAAAGGAAAATTGTCTATTTACAATTATCAGGCTCCAATTTCATCATCTAATTGCTTAGTTTGTGGGTTTTTTTTTTTTTTAAATACAGACAATGCCCCTCTTACTCTCCATGTATATTGTTCTTCAGCTTCCCATTCAAAGTTCTGATCCATGATACATCCTTTAAAGCACTCACAGAAATGAGCATATTAGCCATATTCCATTGAACTCTGAGTTGGAAATACATAAAGGCTATTTTCTAGATCAAAAATATGAGGAACTGTCTTTTCTGATTCAGTTACAGAGAACAGAACACCATCTGCATATCCTACTCTGAGGCACTCTATTTCCTTTTACTTAGACTTTAATGAAGTTGCAAAATATATAGTATTGTAAAGAGCACAGCAGTTAATAGCACACTTTCACAAACAGGTTTTTAAAAGCACATATAACTGAAGAAGCAAAAAGTGGAATTTAATTTAGGGCACAAGAAAGAGGTGGGGGTGAAGAGGAGGTCTTAGCTCCAAATCAGCAGAGGACCCAGCAAATAAGAACATAATAGCAGCTATAGTAAGGCAGACCAGAGCACTCTCTAGCCCAGCATCCTGAACAACGGCAGATGACTATGGAAGAGTACAACACAGCAAACAGACAGTGATACTCACCCATAAACACATATTTTGTGGCAGCCTGCGGCTTAGGGACCTCCTAAACAAGAGACTTATTATCAACCAAAAAGGAGACTGTGTGCAGCAGGAGAAAAATGCAGAATCACTAGTGTAACAACTGTCACTGGGTCACTGGAGACCCTTTTCTGCTCAAAAAAAAAAGGCTACCATGTGCCCGTACTGCCACAAGTATCTTGGAAGACTCCTACACAGCACATAGCACTCTGGAACCAAAAGACTGTATTTCTGACCTAAGCTTTCTATTCTTCTAAGGAAAAGAAATTGCACCTCCTGCCACAGTTATGGCATTTTAAGGATGCTGTGAAATCTAAAGGATGTTACCTGAACAGTGGGGCATCGCAGCACACGCAGTAGTATATTCCTGGTTCTGTGTTATTCAGATAGATTCCACTGAAAGGCTTTTAAAAAAACGGAAGAGAAAAGGGAAGTTAATAATGTAGGTCTTTAAAAGCTCACCATCTGGAACAAGCATGCAGGAATCAGATTCAAAACAGGAGAAAAAAAAAACATAAAAAGAAGGCTTCACAGGGGGGCTTTGAAGAACAAACATTAGCAGCCTAAAGAAATGTAGGGGAGGATGCCTTTGGATTAATAGTGAAAACTACCTCCCGCCCTCAGAAACCTTGAGACTAGTCAGATGCATAAATCATCCAAGTACTAGGGCTAGAGTCATGACCTCTCAGGAACTTGTGAAATGTGCAGGATCCCAGAGATCAAGTCTCTTATACAGAGTTCCACAACTTCAAAGTGCTCCGCAAAGGAACTCTCCTCTTGCCTGGATAGTCTGGAATTAAGATCCTTATTTTACAGATAAAGTTTTGGGCACAGCCCACATGGTTGTATCCCATGGTACGTATTCAACCTCACAGATCCCGATTCCTCGCTAGAGAACTCCAGTGCTCAACCCACAAAGTTACACGGCCTCAGTTAGAGAAGAAAAGAAAGCACGGGGACAAGGTGAGTAGGTGAGCTGGCACATGTGGCATAACTGGGCTCCTGAATATTATATGACTAATCTACATAAGGTTAAAAACAGAAAAAGGAGACTGGAAAGATACAGTCCTCTTCCTTTCCATTTAAAGGCCTTCATTATTCCTACAGCGAAGTCAAGAGTTGACTTGCTTAGGTTTTGAACTCTTTTTCTGGCAATAAAGTAATCGCAATAAAAAGGTGAAAAGAACGAAGAATGCCTTTTCATCTGCAAACCAGTCTGGGTCAGAACAAATTCCAGCCAGTTCCATACACTGAGCCTAGCTTTCATCCACAGGAAGGTAGGGGAAAAAAAATCTGTGAAACAATTGAGTGATGACAACTCCCCAAAGAAAGTTTTTCTCTGAACTTTCTCTGCCAGCAGAGAATGAGGATGGCTTAAACTTGGAAAGCATTAGCTCTTTTGCTTACCGGTTCAGTTCCTTTTTCTCTTGTAACATAGAATTGCTCTGGAGTCAATTTTTTTTTCCAGTCTGCAGCAACAGTTCTTTCAGCCTGTTTAGTCAGAGGGCCTGCATCTTCAATTGGATATAAAAATACAATGTGTATAATTTTTAACACTACTTTAACTTAGAATCTGTTCACCACCTTCCATTGTCGCTTTGATTCTCCCAAAGTTTCTATGGCTACAGGCAGAGCACAGTTGGGCAGTTTGGGGACATAAGAGTAAGGACTAGTTAAGTACTGCAATACAAGACTTTGCATCTGCTTTCCAGTCTACACGCTACCAAAGGAGAGCTGCTCCTGCACACCACTTGCAAAGGCTCTGCAAGAAATTGTGTATTTACAATTGAAGGTACCATCTGCTCTCCAAGCTCAGCCTACTGCCGGCTCAGGAAAACTGCTGGCCTGCTGGTGTTCCTTCCTCATCCCTGTGTATCACTGAAGGGTTAGGGATGGTTTGCCTCTTGGAAACCCTCATAAACCAGAACTAGAGCTAACATAGATGTTAATACTCATTTATGGGCTATCAAAGACTAGCAGAACTTTCACCTGCCTCAGCCAAAATTGGTGGTAAGGAGGAGCATCGGCAGAAAGCAGCACCTACAGCCCAAGAGAAAAGTTAAGTGGGGGGACAGAGTAGAACAGCGTAAGTCACACATTGCAGTGCAAACGTCTGCTACTGCCTACTGAGTCTGTATATGCTGTGAAAGTGATTTTTGATCATATGGGCTTGGCCAACATAGCTGAAAAACAAGGAGAATGGAATATGCAGCTTCATTCCTTCTTAAGGGAATATATCAAAAAGTTTGAGGTGAAAAACAACTTCCACACTCATCTCCATCAACACAATCTAACCCTTGAAAAGAAAAATTCAGTTCCTTAATGAGGAACATCTGACTGGGCTTGTCTCTTACAAAGCAGAGATGATACTGGGGGAGAAAAAAAAAGCATTCTGAAAACGATAATGTCATCTCTACCAGTTACATAGATACACCTATCTCCCAAATTCCCTACAGAGATCAATTTTTCACACACTACCATCTAAAAGTAATGCTTCCTGCCCTTTTTAATTTGCTCGAAATCACATGGGGTACACAAAATGGGCCACGGACTGTGGCAGGCCATGACCTGGCTTTGATGACATATGGAGGTATCACTTCTAGTCACCTCTCCTGTTGCAGCTTGGCTCCTATTCCCTTTCTCCGCCCTGCTCAGTACACCGCTTCCCTCTGCCCTTCCCATCCAGCGCTAGACACCTTCACCCCTTCCCACTTCCTCCACCCCAGTCCTCCATGTCATCTCACGTGCTGGGATTATCCTTGCCTCAGTGTGCTTTCTCCGCTCCTCCAGTATGCTTTCTTGTCCCAGGAGGAGACTTTGAACCCTCAAGTGCAACATCTTCTATTTGGAGAAATATGCGATCTATTCAATTTTAAAACAGGTATTGTTTAGATGATGAGAGGCTCAGATAGTGGTTAATGAGCTGAGCCTGGAACTGCAGCATACCAGTACTATATTCCCCTCAGCAACACAGCCTACCATCAGCATTTTATCCTGGGCCTCTACCCACCACAGCAGTTCCCATCAAATAAATACCAAGTGCTGTGCCTTAGTCCTTTCTGGCTCCACAGCCTGTGCCCATTACTACAGGCGGCCCAAGGCCACAGAACGAGGTCTGCAGCTCACGGGGCTGCTCTCTTCCACGGGGGCAGAGTACAGCTTGTGTCCGTCATGTAACCCAACATGCTATTACAAGGTGCTTGCAAACGCTAAGAGTGAAGTCAGAATTATTTCCTAGAATAGAAGCCCATGTCACATACCAGGCCCTCACTGTACTGAGCACTGAAGAAAGGACAGGACAGAGAGGAGCACACAGCCTGGCCGGTAGTTACCGCTGCTGAGGACGACAGTGTCTGTGCTTCAGTGGCAAGACCAGGCTCTGCCATTCCAGTTTACATCCACCAGCTTTTATTCTCTGATTCGGCTGGACCAGTCAAAATCCCACCCTTCGAGGCACCCCCCCCACTTCCCCCAGCTAAGAAAACGCTGGAAGGGTGGCAGATAACAGCAAAACATACGTGAGCACAGCACAGCACAGCCCTTCACCACCAGGACAGAGAGGAACAAGAGACCCGAGTCGCAAACCCCTGAAGGGCCAGGCCTGCTACGCAGCAGCAGCACGGAGCAGGGGGCTAACGTGCAGCTCAGCCGAGGGAGCGCACGCTGTGCACAGACACTGGATTTCTAGCTGCGCACGTACCCCGTTCTACGTCACTGCAGACAAATACAAACTTTTAAAACATCCTGGAGCCGCGAGGACAGACGCTGGGGCACGGACCCCCCTCACCCAGGCCAATCAGGGTGAAAAGGCGATCTCACAGGAGGAGACCGCCGAGACACCGCTACCCGTGTGCGGTCAGCGCTG